CAATCGATACCTATACTTCCCCAGCCCTCGAGGCGCTGGTAGACGCTGGTGGACGCTGGCAGACGCTAGATCGATATCTACACTTTCCTAGTCGCTGACGCCGCTGGACGCTCGGAACGCTGGTGGACGCTGCCGCAAAGTATGAACGCAGCCCAACGAGACGCGGTGGCATAGCTTCGCCGCATGGCACAACTCCTCCAATTGCCTTTGCCCCTAATATTTTCTCAGTGCTTTGAACTGATGGCAGGAGCCATCTCAGCTGGGTAACTGTTCATTTAAATTTTTCAGGATGTCGGCAATGAGTACTATCGAAGACCACCGGCTTCAAGATCTGGCTAGATTCTGCCGTTCGTTTGACACTGACGGCTTCGTGTTCTGCAACAATTTGTGACGAACTGTCACAAGTATCCTGTTGCCTTCCGTTGTATCTAGTCATAGTAGTGTTCGTACATACTTGATATGTTCATACGTACTTATAATTGACTTAATATCAGATGTATATTTTTTAAGAATAATCGTGCTTTAGACCATTACATAAGTTGTCCCGATTTAATACCCATTCGGGTGTACCAAAGTCCTATTCACTTTCCTCACACATATTTTCCTCCCATCGAAATTGCCTACAGCTTTTTATCGGGGTCTCTTAACGCCTTTTTTCTTTGAGCATGATGATCATTCACATCATCTACAAGTGCTCTTTTGTAAATTCCTTAATTCGTGACCATCGATGTAGACGATCATGACGCCTGTTTTGTATGTCTTTTAATTCTTTTTTTTCCTTCTGTTTTTGTGTCAACTGAAGTTTTGATAGATGAAGAATTGTATCTTATTCGATGATGATGATATACTGCTTGTTGATATACAGGATAGCTGAAAATATGGGTCTCTGCGGTCTCTCTCAGAAGTACGCATATTTGCTGACGATTTTTTTTTCATAGGATATACTAATTATATCCTAGCTAATCAATTTTCCAGAGAAATTCGAAGTATCCAACTTTATCCACGAGACAGGACATCTGAAGCGAAACATTACCGGGGAAGGTCTGCTAACTCACCATGGTACTTTGCATGGTGAGGGCTGCCAATGTAGGAGTCGACTTTTTTATTTTCTTAGACGAGTCCACCACTAATTAGTTTCCCGTGCAGGCACGAACTTTGTTAACCTCCTTATCCCTGAGCCAGAGTAGGCGTGGCATTTGAACATGGCACGGAACTGGTTACTCGTGGAATATTTCAGTCTGGGACAACTGTCATCTTGTTCTGTGCTGGACAGAGACACGACAACAATTGTGTCAAAGATGAAAATTTCTCACCAAATG